CCCGCCGACCCCTCCCCTGCCTTGCCCCACCAGATATCGCGGGTGGAGTACGTGCACTCCCGCAGCTTCATCCACCGCGACATAAAGCCGGACAACTTCCTCATGGGCCTCGGAAAGAGGGCCAACCAGGTGCGCCACAGCGCGCTCGCGCCTGCGCCCGCGCACCAGCACGCGTCGCGCCCCTCGCGCTTCGGCCCTGGGAACCCGGCGCCAAGACGCGCCGGGCGGGCCCTCGCCGGCAGGGTGGCGGCGCCGGCTTGTGGGCCAGCGCCCAGGCCGCGGCAGCGATCACGGAGCCCCCATCGCTTGTCCGCTCTCGCTGCCCTTCCAGCTGCGGCCGGCAAAACAGTCGTGCTCCGGCATACATACACTTATTGGACACCCATTACATATCGCCCCACCCCCCTTCAGGTCAACATCATCGATTTTGGGCTGGCTAAGAAATACAGGGACCCGCGCACCCATGTTCATATTCCTTATGTCGAGAACAAGGTGCGGCGCACAGGGCCGGCCGGCGTGCGCCGCAACAGGGGCTCGCGAAGCACAGGCAGGGTCTGAAGGAAGGCCAGCGCCAGGCGGAGCTGGCGTCCTCCAGCCAGCCATCTGGAGTCTGCACGCCACCATTGGGGCGTTGACATCAACCGCGTGCCAGGGTTGTGTGGGCAGCCCGTCGGCCCCGATTCTTTGCTCCCTCCCTCCTCTCACATGGTCAACCTCTCTGTCTCCCTCACACGCAAACCCGCAAACACACACACACACACACACACATACACGGCCACTCTCACGACAACCAAATATTTGACTTCCCACAGAACCTGACGGGCACCGCGCGCTACGCGAGTGTCAACACGCACCTGGGCATTGAGCAGTCGCGGCGGGACGACCTGGAGAGCCTGGGGTACGTGTTCATGTACTTTCTCAGGGGCAGCCTGCCCTGGCAGGGCCTGCAGGTGCGCGCGCGCGCGCACGTGTGTGTGTGTGTGTGTGTGTGTGTGTGTGTGTGTGTGTGTGTGTGTGTGCGTGCGTGTGTGTGTACGCGCGCGCGCACGACCGTGCGTGTAGTTTTGTTTGTGGAAATGAATGTGCGCCTGTGTGTTAATGAGCATGTGTGTTTGCGTGCGTGTATGTGCGTGGATGGGGGGTGGAGGATGAGAGGGAAGGGGGTGGAAGTGAGGATTGAGGTGTACGCTTATGCCTGCGGTGCTTGCATGCGTGCGCAGGCAGCCAACACTGCTCGGCCAGGTGGCCGGCCACAAGCAGTTGCTCATGGCGCGATGCGTGCGCTCGAAAGCGTCACGGCCAGAATGCATCTGCTCGCGTGTGCCCCCCGCCCGTACCGCACACTTCCGGACCCGCCTCGCGCCGCGTCACCCGTGGCACCACGTCACCAGGCGGCCACCAAGAAGCAGAAGTACGAGAAGATCAGCGACAAGAAGATGCGAACGCCCTTCGAGTCGCTGTGCAAGGGCTTCCCGCGCGAGTTTGTCCTCTACTTCCAGAACGTCAGGTGAGGCTTGTAAAACTCCGTATGCAAACGCATCGGCGCCGCGGCCTGGTCGCAGCAGCACCCCTCCATCGACGGGGCCGACGGCTTTTTGAAACAGGAATCGGGCCTGGAGTCTTTGCGTTGGGTCGGGGCGACAACCCCACCCAACGCCTCTGCACGGAGCGCGTGGGGACCTGCTTGTCGACCCTTCACTGCCTCTGCCGTCTCTAGGGGCTGGTTTTGCTGTGCGCCTGCCACACAGAATGACTCCGCGTTAACAAAACCTGTGCCACCTCCCTCAACACACACACACACACACTCACACACACACACGCACACACACACACACGCGCGCGCGCGCAGGTCTCTGCGTTTTGACGAGAAGCCGGACTACGCCTTCCTGCGGCGCATGCTGCGGGACCTCTTCGCCAAGGAGGGCTGGAACTGGGACTATGTGTTCGACTGGTGAGGGGGCTGGGGTTGGGGTTTCCAGGGTGGGTGTTGCAGGCGGTATTGTGGTGCTGTAGGC